GAAAAAGAAAAGACATTTTGTTTTGGAGGTTTTGGGGTTGGAGAGGATGATGTGGATAAGAAGAATGTGGGGTTCATTTGGATGTTTTGGTTGAGATTGGAGTGGTTTGAAATTTGGGTGATTGTCAATGAAGGTTGAGGGTTTGAGGTTGGGAGATTAGGGAAGAGAATGGGTGTTTTGTGGGCTGATTTGGGACCAAATCGGACTGAAATCCCGATTACCCGGCCGGGTTTTAGTAATACCCGAATGGGTATGCTGTTTTTCGCTTGACTGTGTTGCCCGGGTATTCCAATTTTTGTGATGTTACCCGACCGGGTGTGGGATATACCCGGGCGGGTTTTCCTCCCAGTTTTTTTTTTTGAAAATAATAAAAAAAACAAATTCTTAATTTAACACACACAACTGAAAATGGGAATAATTAAAATAAAAATTTGGGTTGCCTCCCAAGAAGCGCTTGATTTAATGTCGCGGCACGACGTTATTTTTATTTTGTTTTCTGTTTTAAGTGGGATCGTGAGCATCCCTCGTTTCATTTTTGTGGCCTTATTTATCCATTTTTCAAATTTATTTTTCGGCCTTTTCCAGTAAGGCCGAGGTTTCTTTCTCACTACCACCTCCATCATAGGTGGATTTAGTCCACATTTTAACACGTCCCTTTCTATCAAAGATGGCTTCTCATGTTTATTTTTCCCTTCTTGAAAAAATCTGATTTTATCCGCTTCTTTGAAAAATACCGGTTCTTGTGGTTCAACAACATTTAAAGAACAAAGAGTTAGATTTTGCTTTTGTTTTTTCGTAGAGTCCAAGATGTTGAATTCCACTTTTTGGTCATCGAACTCCAAAGTTAAGGAACCACTAGAAACGTCAATTTTTGTTTTTGCGGTCTTCATGAAGGGTCTATCCAAAAGGATGGGTGTTGTTTGATCATCAGTTCCCATTTCAAGGACATAGAAGTCAACAGGAAAAACCATATTTTCTACTTCTACTAGCACATCTTCTATTACACCCTTCGGGTAAGTACTAGAATGATCCGCCAGTTGAATCACGCAAGTTGTAGAGATTTATAAACAGAATAGGGGATGACATTTATTGATGCCCCTAAATCCAACAAGGCCTTAGGAAATGTGGTGTCTCCTATTTTGCAAGGGATAGTGAACATGCCTGGGTCGTTACATTTTTCGGGGAGTTTTCTCTGAAAAATGGCCGAGACGCGTTCACTAACTCTAACCTCTTGTTTCCCCTTCAATTTATCTTTTCTTTTTGTTTTGCATAATTCTTTTAAAAATTTAGCAAAACGAGGGACATTTTTCATTAAGTTAAGAAGCGGGATGTTTACCTCACACTTTGCGAAGGTTTCATAGATGTCGACATCTTTCTCTAGCTTCTTTGTCTCCCTCAGCGCCTCAGGAAACGGGATCACTGGTTCATATGATGAGGGTGGGGGGAGCTTGGTTTCTGTGATCTCCTCCTCCGGTGGGACTACTTTTTCAGGGTCCACCCCCTCAATCTCTTTATCGTTCTCTTGTACCTCTTTCAACGTCGCCCCACTTCTCAACATGATAGCATTCACATGTTGTCTCTCGTTTTGCTCTGTTTGAGATGGGAGTTTACCCGAGTCCTTTGTTTCAAGTCGGTTTACGGCATTTGCAATTTGACTCACTTGGCTTTCCAAATTCTGAATGCTGGACTTGGTCTCATGCTGAAATCGAACCATGTTTTGTTGCATGGTTGAGACATTTGAGGTGAGTGCTCGGATCATGTCTTCGGTGGACATACTTGAGCTTGACGTTTGGCCTTGGTGATTTGGAAAAGTTTGTTGCAAGGGCTGACTTTGAGGGTTCCCATATCTCAAATTCGGGTGATCTCTCCACCCAGGATTGTAGGAGTTAGAGTGTGGATCATACCTCTTTTGGCCTTGAAATCCCAAAGCATTGACTTGCTTGGAATTCTCTTTTTGTAGTGTTGGGCAGGAATCGGTGGGGTGCCCCTGTGTTGAGCATATGCCGCAGACCTTGACTTCTTGTTGTTTTGGATTTAAAAGGAAATCTTTTACCAAAGAAGTCAAACCGACCACTTGACTTTCCAACGAGATGTTGGATTCCGCTGCCATGACTCGTTTTGATGATGACCTCCCATTGTAGTGTCTAGAATTCTCGGCCAACTCCGAGATGAGATTCCTAGCTTGGGAAGGGGTTTTGTTGACAATTCCCCCTCCAGATGCTGCGTTCACCAGGCGTCTATCTTGCTCCGCAAGACCGTTATAGAAGTAGAGGATGAGGTCTTGCTCTGTGTAACCATGGTATGGGCAACTAGCACACAATTTTTTAAAACGCTCCCAATATTCATATAATGTCTCATCATCTTTTTGCTCGATGTTGCTTATTTGTTTTTCAAAGATGATGAGACGGATGCAGGGTAGTACCTTTCTAGGAAGCATTTTTTCATTGACGCCCATGTATCTATACTCCCTGAAGGGAGATAGAATAGTCAATCCTTAGCCGTGTCTTTGAAGGAGAATGGAAAAGCCCTCAACTTGATTTGTTCCTCGGTAACTCCATTTGGGCACATGCTTGTGCAAACAATATGGAATTCCGAGAGATGTTTGTTTGGGTCCTCGCCCCGTAGACCATGGAATGAAGGAAGCAAATGGATGAGCCCCGATTTGAGCTCAAATGTAGCACCTTCATCAAGAGTAGGGAAGGTGATACATAGCGGTTGTTGGTTGAGGTCTGGAGTTGTGAGCTCCCTCAATGTTCTCATTTCGAGAGCCATGTGAAAAGACTCTTCGGATTCGCTAGAGCTAGAGTTAGCGGTGTATGAGTCTCTGGTAGATGATTCTTCCCAGTCGGTATTAGAAAATTTACTTTTCAACCGCTCGAAAGTTTGTTCTATTTCTGGGTTTTTGTGATATGTGATTTCGTTTATGGAACGATGTTTAACCATAAACTCCACTAAGCTCAGAAAATAGAAAAATAAACACTCTTTATATTTTTGTTTAATATATTTTTTTTTCTTTTTTTTTTAAATTAAAATAAAAGAAAAATTAATTGCCTTTCCCCGGCAACGGCGCCAAATTTGACGTGCACTTTGTCGTGAGGTGTACTCAAAATAATTACAATACAACACTAATACGTAGTATAGTGAAGTAAGGTTCGTATCCACATGGAAAGGAACACTTTTCTTCTATATAAGTAGTAACAAGGGGAGTTTAGTTTTGTTTGATTTAAAAACAGTAAGATGAACAACCTATATGAGTTTAATTTAATGAGATGAGGACTTGGTTTTGCTTTTATCCACTTAATGAAATGTTTGTCTATCCCGGTTATATCTTTAACTATCTTCCTCTCGAATACTCAATCGAGGAGTATATCCAGTTCATCGAGGGTAGTTATTAATAACGAGATACGTTCATTAATAAAACTTACTATCGAGTCAATATAGAACAAGCGCCGTATATTAACTTGATAGTAGCAATAAACTTAAGATGAAAACGATTGAGATTGATAACCTCAACACAAGCGGTTTATTGGTTTAATCGATATAATTAATTCCCCTTGGAGTTGCACTGGCATTGTTACTCTGCTGAAAAGAATACACACTTACCACACTGTAAAGCACTTGACACATAAATACATACACCAATTGCGTTTGAATGATGTTTATCAATATCTGATTTGAGGTGCATACATTGCAGATTTGGTATACCTTCATACATTGCAAGCATACTTCTCAGACAACCAAGTACCAGCTGACACAATCAGTGATGGTGTATTTCAGTTTAGAGGCCACAGATCCATAGGTGCTGCAGGTTTGGAGGTAATATATAACAACATTATATATAAATTTGTATTTCAGTGGTGTGATGGTATGCATATATGGTATAATTTTGATTATCATTTGTATTTGTACAGAGACTTAGGGCAAGGAATGCAAAGGACGTCAATGCCAAAGCTCAAAACTTAAGGAAAAGGAATGGTGAAGCTTTGGAAGTAACTGGTGATGCCATGGAAGACAATAGTGGGAACTAGACTGACACCTATTTAGTGTATCTATGTATTTGTTGTTCAAACACTAATATATTTTGGGAAGATCCTACTACTTATTTTGCATTTAAGTTGGTGGTATGTAGGATCATAAGGTGTTTTGTTATGTAAATGGCATATTTCGGTTGTCAGTCATGGTTTTTGTGCTACGGTTTTGGTTTCATGTTCCTGGTGTGTGTGTGTGCCAGTCATGGTATTTGACCTAGAAGATGATGCTTTGATGAATTATGTATGCATATTTCAGTTTATGGTATGAGTTTAAATGATTTGCAGGTTATGGTATGCATTCTAGAAGTGCTGCAAGTTTGTAATTCATTTTTGTTCAATATGTTGTTCATTTGCAAGTTTGCACAGTTCATAATTGATTTGCAAGATTGTTACAGTTCAATTAGTCTGAATAATTTTAGTGCAAATATCAAATTAAGGTATCTGAGTTCATTGCTTGATTTGTAAATCAAATCAAATAGTTTCAGACTGAATATAGTGAATAGTTTCATTGCAAGATTGTTACACTCAGGAATGAATATGTGTTTCAGATCAATACTGGCCAACTTTGAGGTCCATATCAGGTCCATATGAGGTCATATTTGAGGTCATTGTTAATCTCATTGTTTCAGATCATTGTTTGAGACAAAGTACTATTATTTCAGGTCATTGTTAAGCTATTTGAGGTCCATATCAGGCCAAAATTGACTTCATTGATTCACTACTAATGTCAAATGGTCTAAATAAAAGTCATTGTACATATCATTCAAAGAAACAAAGTACAAATATTGTGCTACATCATAGCAAACTAACTGATACACCTACATTACATCAACTTAAACTGATACATCAAACCTAAGCAATTGATAAATCATACCTAAGAACTGATACATCAAAGCTAAGAAAGTGATACATCAAAGCTAACAAAATGATACATCATTTCATAAAGTTCCATGCAAACTTAATCCATGCCAGCATCACACATCTTCCAAGCTACCTTCTTCTTGCTTCCACTATCATTCACAACAAGCCATATCACAACCAGCAGTAATCCTGCAAGAATGCACCACAAGACACTCCAAATTTTCTGGTTTTTAGGCATGCCTTTTTCCTTTGCCTTCTCCTCAACAAGCTCAGTTTCCAATTTGTTTATTTTCCTCAACAAATCAGGAATAATCAACTTGGACCTAAAACAGATTTCTTCATCAAGCCATTCGAACATGTTGCAACAGGCACCTGTACCCTACTTGTAATAATAGCATTCAGTCAAGAACAATCAAAATTAACAACAAATAATAAATAAAACATTTTTATCATTCGAATGCCCTTACCCTTGAGCAGACAATGAATCGTCTCCCTGGATTGTCATTTGTCCATGAAGTCATTATCTTTGCTGGAATTCCACAGTAGCAATTTCCATAAGACATTTGCGTTGTTCCCAAACCTGAAAGAGAAATGAAATAGGTTACTTGGAGGCCACCGTTTACCACACAAACACAACATGCCGGAGGAGAGCAAAGAAGAGAACCGTCATATGAATACCCAATATGCCGGAGGAGAGAAAAAGAAGAAAAGCGCCGGAGGTAACACTGTAAAAATTTGGGGCTCGTCTCATACATAGGGTTCGAAATATAACAACAAGGACGATGCTGACTTGGAGGCCACCCTGTACCACATCAGTAATCCGATGAGCACCTTGGCAGTATAGCGGCTTAAATAGCCCCAGGTACTAAATTAACGCCCGTTTCCTCATTTCATGTACCGTTGGAACCGGTTTGCATGATCATGTACTCTTTACTCCACGGCTCACGACTTCGTGTACTCAATCAACACTTTTCTCTTTCATTAATATTCCAAGCCCATATGTAAGGCGGACTAACAAGCTGGCTCGATATTGGAACCCAATAGCCAAGCCCTAGCAGATATATACCGAATCCTCAACGCCGCGAAGATGATATCGACGCCATTCTACGGAGCATATCCAGTGCATAGTACCGCCACGGTTTAAGCTTTCATTTCAACAAAAATGGTTGCTCTTTCTCTCTCTTTTGTCTCCTTGCGTACATATTGTTTTTGAATCATCATTTCTTTGTAAACTGATTGAGTCGATTACTCGTATGGTATTGTTGTGCATAGGCGGACGCTGACAACGATGTTGCGACGGGACTGCCAAAGAAAAGAACGTTCAAGAAGTTCAGTTACAGAGGCGTTGATCTCGATTCTCTCCTCGACATGCCCACTGATGTTCTCGTCAATCTCTTCCCGGCCCGTCAACGTCGAAGGTTTTCCCACATTGTTCTTCTTACACTTCTCGCTTATTTAATGGGAGTCTGGGGTTATGCGCTGAATGTCGTTATGATTTTGTTTTATTGGATAGGTTTAAGAGAGGCTTGACGAGGAAGCCACTCGCTTTGATTAAGAAGCTCCGGAAGGCGGTATGAATATGATTTTTACCCTCAGATTAGTTTCTATCCTTATTTTTACTCGTGTGTATTATATGTTGATTGATCGTGAAAATGGAGAAACTTGTCCAGGTGTTGCTTCACTTGCCTGATTTTTAATGCGTTCTGGATAGAGTTAACCTAAAAAAATCTGCTGAATTTAGTAAAACTTGGGTTTTTATTGAAAATAGGTTTCATCTTGATTAATAGATGTGCATATAGAAATGCTACGAGTATTTAAATTACTATGAGGATAAAATTTACGGAGTATGAATCTAGTTGAAGGCTGTTCAGGTAGAGGTTAAGCAAGGTGAGCATACCTAACTTACTCGTATGGAGGTTTTAGCCTACAAAAAGATTTGTCTAAAACTCAGTTATATGAGGTTATATATGGTTATTTTTGGTGTTGAATCCATATCTACAGAAAGCCTACATTCTTATTATGAAACTAAATAATTGATTTTCATCTATAACTAAACCCTGAAGAGATTTGATTCACCCAACCAATTCTCATCAAGTGTAAAGCAGTTAGATTCCATTCCAAAATAATCTTCTCTCCCATTTTAGCAAAGAATTTGTGTTTCACATCATTTCTTACACATTCTTATACATTTCTTTCACCTCTTCACAACTCTTCACCACACAAAACCCACTATTTTAAACTGTGTGCCAATTGTGTACTTGTGAAGATAAATATGGGACGGAGGGAGTATATGTTATCTAACTCAACTCTAAATGTTTTGCTGTATAGATTAGCCATTTCATATCCGGTTGGCTTCTACAACACAGTCCATATGTTATCAAAATAAATTAGACTTCAAATTGCAGTCTGATTAAATAATTCTGTGGTTATGCAGAAAACCCAGACTAACCAGTAACCTACTTTATTTGAATATTTAATGGATGATTGCTCAACCTATTGACTATTTAAATTATACTCCCTCCGTATCACAATAAGAGTCCCAGTAGACTTTTCACGTATTTTAAGATAGTTTATAGGTTTACTGTACATTTTTTGAAAAAGTAAGAGATTTTTGGTACTGTAGCAGTACACTTTACTACTCCCTCCGTCCCTTGAAACTTTGCCATCTTTCCTTTTTGGGACGTTCAAAAAACTTTGTCACTTTCCCTTTTAATCAATTATTTTGTGGTTTATGTTATTTCTCTCTCCTCTGCACAAACCTCAACCACATAGTTTTTACTTTATTATTCTCCGTGCCGGTCAACTTTGGCAAAGTTTTAAGGGACTGAGGTAGTATATTAAAGTGTACTGTAGCTACTTTTGGGGTAAAATTGTTTTCTAAAACGGAAGTGACACACTTATTTTCATACGGCCAAAAAAGGAAAGTGAGAGACTTCTTGTGATACGGAGGGAGTAATCTTTATTGGATTACCTGAGTACATTGTCTTTTTGTTATGTGTATTATACACATAGTACAGTGTATATGTAAAATATACAGTGTTAATGTAAAATATACAGTATTATGATAGAGACCTAAAACAATACTAGAATAAGAATACTATAAAGTCTTTTAATATTGTACAATAAAAAGGGGTTTAGGCCTTATAACTAAATAGAAATGGGCTGGCCCATTAGAAAAAAGAATAAATAGGAGTGAGTTGTGAGGAGAAAAAGGGGAAGAAATTCTGTTAGGCTTGGGTTTGGGACTTGGGAGAGGAGACTGCTCTAAGTGTCTCAGTGTATCTTTCTATTTCCTTCTATATTAGCTCTTGAAATTCTGAGATCATCATCAATCTACTATTAATTACTGCTGCGTTTTGGGAGTCTCTATCATCTGGTATCAGAGCACTAGCTTCCTGAATCGATCATCCTGTAGCATCAACGAGCTGCAGTGATGAAGGAAGTTTATACGCCGGGAATGGAGAAAAGCCTGGACAGTATCGAACGCAACCTGGGGGAGATGAAAACTACGCTGGTCGAGACGCGGGAAGGGATGCGCGACTTACTGCGCCAACTGCGTCGCAGGCGACCTCGAGGTCGATCGCGAACGGTTAGGAGTCGTCGACAGTCAGAAAGCAAGGGCTCAGCACCTTCGTTCGCTGTTTTCCCCAGTGCGCAGTCATCTGCGTCCTCTTCCTGTTCGCCAGGTTCCCCACGAACAGCATCTCCCAGTTTGCCGTCAGTAGCCGCTCCTCACATGTCTTCAACGACCAGTTCGAAGTTGTCGGCTCTGGCCGCCTCTCACAGTTCGTCAAAGATCGCCGTTTCTCACCATGCTCAAGCTTTATCAGTTTCCAGAACCCTAGACCAAGCTGAATCCGAAAATGGATTTCTGAGAACTTCATCGCGAACAATGAAACATTGAGTTGAGGTTGTCAGAACTGAAATCCCAGGTTGAGGAAGTCACAAGCGCAGATGAGATTTATTATCCGATTCTGGTGAAAGCTGTGCCAAAATCTGTTGATTCATCTGAACCACTCATTGAAGGATTATTTTCAACTCACTCAGAGGTCAAGTCTGGGATGACAGCAAAGGGCTGCAGACCTGCAGTTTGGTACTTTTTGGAAATTGGGTCTCCTCTGATTCTGGAATGAGATGGGCTGATGAGTTTGCTTGCAGTGAGGTCTACAAGAGAGAGCAACTCATGGATTTATCTTTAAAACCAAGTAATGTTAATGGACTGCAAGCTGAAGGAAATTTTCAACCTCATAAAATGGTTTTATGCTCCAATGATCCAGAAGTGAATTGTTGTAGTTGTGTTCTTTCAATGGAATACAAGCAAGGTGATGATGTTGGAAATATAGAAGTGGAACCCTACTTGCGTGAAAGAATCGTTAAGGCTTCCTTCTCCTCACTTGGGCTAATAAAGTTGGATACAGATCCAGTCAGTGAAGCAAATAAGTTTCAAGAATTCTTCTCTAATGGTATATTTGAAAAACAGTTTATGTACGCATCAAACCATAGTTCTGAATGGGTGTACATTGATTGGAATGGAACTTATCCCTCTGTTTCTGCTGTGGAACATGTTAACAAAAATGCTTGGCTTAATGCTGAGTTGTTTGAAGCTAACGGGAGGAATGGTTTTTGCCATAGAAATGATTTGGATGCAATAGGTACTGATGGTATAGAACAGATCCACACCACCAATATATCATCTTGTAGAAATTGTGTGAGGGGTATGGTTGTGGTTGCTATCCGTTCAGGAAGAGTGTTCTAATTTGGAAGCTGTTCCCCATTCATCCTCTAGAAGCCCATTCAAGGGAAGCACTGAAGAAGCCCCATCTCCCTATTCATCCGATGATGATGACTACCAGAAACAGAACCTACTGAAGTGGCCTGGCAGTTCCGCTTTCGATTCTGAAAAGGGAAAAGCGAGTGATAGTATAAGCGCAGTGCGTGGAAATATACCTCAAAGGAACCCCAGCAATATCAAGCGGCAAAGAAGATGGATGATATCAAAGATGAAGGGTGTTCAACGGGCCAGATTTCAGCTTAGAAACGCATTAATTGAGATAGTCTTCAACGACTCTACTGCTCTAGTGTTTTTGAAGATGGCAACCCAAGATGATGCATGGGACGTTGGCAGATTGATCATTACAAACAAAAATGAACCAATGTCTCCAAAAGGATACAGGGACAAGACTAGCATTATTCTGTGGGTTAATCAACATGTTGGATTGGAAGTGGCTGAAATCTCTAAGGGAAGTTGGCTGAGAAAAGAGAATACAAACTCTGAGTACTTGATGATTCTTAACACACGTGCTGGAAGATCTTATAACGATTTAACTCAGAATATGATGAATAATCATTCATCAAGGGACTTTTTGCACTCTGGTGCTCTTTTTCGTAGCTGCAAACAGAAAATGCTTTCAGAAAGTCTATTTGAGCTGAGGCTGACAATTTTGGATAGCAAGAGGGTTGTAAAGGTAAGTGGGCATAATCTAGAGGAGTTGGCATATTGTGTCATTGCTTTTCAGCAAATAACGGAGCAGCAGGTTCACACATGGTTAATGGAATGCTAATCCATTCCTTGCTGGTGAGGAGGATAATATTCAAAGTTGGCACGCTTCTGTGGCACTGTTAATGGAAGAGGTGATAAATTCTTGTGGCACAGCAGGAGTAATCCTCCAAGGTGATGACCGCTGTGAGATGCAGGGATTACTTGGAGGGTGTGAAAATCCTAAAGTGAAGAACATGAAGATGAAGGTTTCAAGAGTGCGAAATATGACTGTTTGGAGTTACTGTCAATCCTAGATCAACAGGTGAATTGACAAATAGAGCTGAAGTTTTTTTCAGCTCAGTATTTTCTGATAAGCAGATTAACGAGGATGAGAATGCTGAGGTTCAGGGCATGAAAACAAATTCTGCCACTGGTGAGATACTAGAGGCAATAAGGGCCATCAAGAAGGATGAAGAGTTAACAATTTATCACAACTATGTTCCTGTTTTTGGTGCAATAACAAGGGGTTTAGGCCCTATAACTAAATAGAAATGGGCTGGCCCATTAGAAAAAAGAATAAATAGGAGTGAGTTGTGAGGAGAAAAGGGGGAAGAAATTATGTTAGGCTTGGGTTTGGGACTTGGGAGAGGAGACTGCTCTAAATGTCTCAGTGTATCTTTCTATTTCCTTCTATTTTCGCTCTTGAAATTCTGAGATAATCATCAATCTACTATTAATTACTGCTGCGTTTTGGGAGTCTCTATCATATTAATGTAAAATATAGTGTATGTAAATATGTGCCTTTTTGTATATACCCAGTGTACAAAAAACAACATAACGTTGCTTCATAACGTTAGTGAGCTATTTTTTCTTTATCCCATCATATTCTTAAGCCAAAAACCAGTGAGCCTTTGGCTCTATTGAATATGATGGAACTTGT